TTTGTCCAGCCTCCTGTGTCCCGAGGAGAGTCTTTACACTCTGTATCTTGCTATTCAGAATATAAAGTGTGTCCGGCGGATGGTGCTAGAAGAAAGGCCATGAGGTCATTAACGTTTTATTGTACCACCCACTGTTTTGCCATTAGGATACTAGCGTTACATAGAACTTTCTCCGACTGCCAGTACTAACTCACATCTTTTCCATCATTGTGGTTGTTGATGTGATTTTTATCGTCTTGTCAAAAAGAAAAAAGAATCCAGGTAAGTACACAGCACAATGTACAAATCTTGAACAACACAGCCGTGTCTGCAGCCATTCTAGCGCTGCCCTGAGGCTTGGCTTAGGCACAGTTGAGTTAAATGTTGCACAATGACATGCAAACATGGCAGTATTTACCATGGTCACCATCTTAGTTTAGTGTGTTAGCATGTGTTTGCTAATTAGCACCAAACACAAAGTATAGCTAAGGCTGATGTATTGTCAGCATCGGCTCATAAACCTAGGTGAAATACGGAATCTTGACCTGACGGTGAAGGGATCACCAAAGATATATTAATTATTCATATTACATTTTTACAAAATTTCTAATAGTTGTTGGGGCAGATGTCAACCAAAATGATTTATTTGCCCAATATCCCAAATCTCAATATGCCTCAAGGTTCTTTACAATTTGTACAACACCTTCGGTCCTTTGACCGAAGGTGTTTTAACAAACTACCCAAAGTCCATCTACCACAAACAGTATTTGTCGAACATGATTGTGCTGAGTAAATTACATGTCAATCCACCCATTCGATTATCATGTATCATCATATTTACAGGTCTTCATTTAATTTTTGGGCTGATGTGGCCAAAGTTGTTTGTATTACTTTAAACCAATCACAATCATCTTGGGCGGCGCTAAGCGCTATCTATTTTGCCTTAGCAAGCGTAGATAGCTGAAGAGGAGGAGAATGCCGGCTGAAATTGGTGGCCAATGGAAAGCTATTACCACAGTCTACATTGGATCATTAAACTGACCAACACTGCAGTTCTTAGTCCATGTTGCTACATGAGAATGGAAAAAAAATCAAATATACCGATCAAGAAAGGGTGAATGGACACAGAATCCTTCACAAGTTCAATTCCTCAGAGGATAGCTGGTAAGAAACAAAGTAAGCAAGTCAGACAGAAAGAACCTGGGAGGAAACAAACATATCTAAGGAAACATAGATAAGAATAGAATTTCTGAGAGGAACTCTGTGGAGATTTGCTGTGAATGCCAAATGTCACCTCTGCATCTCCAAAGCTTTGGTTTGTCCTAGTTTGGTTTGAGATGCAAAATGCAGCACTTAAAAGCTGCATCAAGCTCATTTTTCCCTGAACAAAACCCAATTTTTCTGACACTGAACTACAAAGTAGGGCTACAACAATAAAGAGAGGCCCATCCTGACTAATTGAGATGCCACAGATAAATTCTGTTTCCTCAAACAGTGGGCAATTTTGTAACTTTAAATAAAAGTAGTCAAAACTTCCTTAACATCAGTGAGTATGGGGTCCATCCAAACACTAGCCATGTTGCAGAGCAATGCGTCAATTGAATCCTTATAGGAGACATCTCACAGATAGAAGTAGTCAACAACTGAAGGTGCCAAGCCGGAAAGTGAATGTGATGATCACTGCTCTTCTGGACCATGCTGAATAGGAAGGACAGTGTGATAACCTGCAATAACATGCATCAAGAGGCCAGTGTATGGCCTTAAATATGAAACAATCAGTGCGGGTGTTTTGACACTGCTGTATGCTGCCGTTGTGTGTTGTCCTAGTTAGCCGCACACACATCGCCTATTAACAAAGCATCTTCACAGAGGGAATGTGTACTCCTTTGCATTAGGTTGGCGGAGGAGCTGCTTGGTTTGTTAACAGCAGTTTAGATAGCCTAACATGCACCTGTAGATCTGTTTTTTAGAAGGGTACTAAGGTCTTCCCACCAACATACAGTAGAGTGTTGCAAACAAGCGAGCTGTGGCGCAGCCTGCAAATTCAATTGATACATCTGCACTATCAGAGCTGCCTTGGGATGAAAAATTTAAATGAGAAAGGAGCTTTTCTGCTTTTATAGTTTACGGGTGCTTTAATATTTTTTGTTCATTCTAAGAATGGTGCAGTGATTCCTGCCACAGTACAAAACACAAGTCAGTATCAGAGTCAGCATTCCCAGAATTGGTAAACTTTGACATTGGCTTTAACATTAAGAGCCAGTTGACTCTCATCGCCCAACATACATCTGAACAAATAGGAGCTCTTACATGGCCCACAATTGGTGCTTTTTGGAATAGAGAGAGAAGGAATCAGTGGAGAAGAAAGAAACCCAGGTCAGGAAGGAAGGAACACAGAGAGTTCTTTACACCTGAGTGTCTCTGATATAACAAATTCTTCAGAGGTTTGGATAACAGGTGCCAAATGTCAGCAGCTCCATCTCCACAGAGCTGCAGTTGGCCTAGTTTGTCTTGAGATGCAGCTGTATGCTCTGTCATAGCGATGGCAAATAAGCACCAGAGGGGGTTCTGACACACACACACACACACACACACACACACACACACACACACACACACACACACACAGATACATATATATGCATCCCCCAACACACACCTACGATAGACCTGTGTTCACGCAAGCTTTTCCAGCTACACAAGGAAATGTTATTCCAAGTTAAACATGGGCATATATGCAAGCATGTACACAAACTCACACACACACAGAGTATGCACAGTGTGATGCCGTACCCGGAGTGAGGAGTAAAAAATAGGACAGCATGGATATACACCACCCTTGGTTGTTGGTTGGGATAACTGTCAAAAAGTTCTATTCTCTCTCTTGCTTTCTGTATTTCTCTTTCTCTCACTTCTTTTCCTTTTATGTAGTTTCCACACACATTTTAGAACATGTGCTTTCAACATGAAGAACTCAAGTTGATTCTTTAGAACGCATATATATATATATATATATACTGTATATAAAGTATACTTTTGCTTTTCTCTCCTCTTCGTCTCAATTAAAAGGGCTGGCTTTAAATCAAATATCGAAAATAGTAGTTATTAGTTAGTTAATATATGTTATTAACACATACAAACTGTCGATCATAAATGTAGCCATTTATAAATGTAACCATTTATGATTGCTAGCACAGGATTGTCTAAGTCAAGGCAAACTCTTGTATGTGAACCCTAAATAGATGACTGCTATGTGCTATTACTGTTTGTATTATTATGTGTCACCGAAGAACAAGTCTTTAATTTTGTAGAGTGTATTTATGTATGTAACAGTATCTGAATACTTCTATGCGTATGTCTGCCATGCAGGTGTATTTGTTTTGTGTAAATTCTGAATGCTCAAAGGCAGTTAGTTAGGTTCGTAGTATGTAAGTGAGGCATGTATGTCATGCTGTTCATTTCATTGTCCAGCTTTTAGTGTCAGTGTTTCTAGTGTAGTGAGCCAAAAATCCATCAATAAGGTTTTTCTCATAGTTTGTTGGCCTATAACAATAATAACTGCAACAAATGACCACATATTGACACCTAGTTGGTTCCATTCTCAACTGTTTAGCGCACTGGTCAGTCAGTGGGTCACTCAGAAATGAGCTAATAATAAAATTATTAACAATATGTTTATTATGGTAAATTTATGATATTATTGTTACACAATTATAAAGGCTACACGGATGATCCTATATTCAAATTACAATGATTTCAGTGGGTTTAAAATACAAACAGAGTTTGTACTTTTCCTTCAAACAAACAATGTAATTTTATCTCAATTAGTTTTTAATCTTTGCAATAATTTGTTCTATAAAATGAGGTGTATTCTATGCCATGTGAATTTTAATATATATATTTTTTTGTTAAAATATTCTCAATCTATGAACAAAGGAATTTGATTGTCTTTTAATCACTGATATATAAACATCTCAAACACTTAGAATGAATTAACTTAAAAAGTTCAACCTTCCAACATGACAACTACTCAGTATAGGCCGTCTTGAATGATTGGCCCTTTATTTTATCTTCAACAAGGGGCCGCACCTCTAATCTCTCACGGTGAAGTGCGCTCTGTGACCGTCATGTCAGAGGAGTGTGCGGCGTTTCCCCCTGCTCCCTGCTCTGCCATGTTAACCAGTATGCCAATGCCTGTTTAACAGAAATGCCAGTCTAGTGAGCTGAAACCAACCAAGTGAACCATCATCAGTTTATGGACTTAACGTAGCACATGGGGCTGCAGAAAACCTTGCATTGTGATTGGGTTAGCTATCCAAGCCACGGAGCTGATTGGCTGACCTGCCTCTGCAAGCGGCATTTCAATTGGTTCCTCACCTAGTGTGGTTTCCAAGGAAGACATGTTGTTGTATGAGCTCCTACAAGGCAAACCTCTGTCGAAATGTTTTCATCCCAAGCATGAAGGCTTTCCCATGGCAACATTTGACAGCCAATGAACATGCATTAGTGCAATGACATCACTTCCTGTTTTAAACAAAGGGCTCAAATTAACCATGGCCATCGTAGCACCCAATCGAATCATGACGTCTTGCGGAGCACCAATTTTGCAACAGCAGATGCAGCGATTCACAGCGATATCTGTATTGTAGTGTAACTAATATTTTAATACGCCATTTTACAAAATAAATCTGTGTCTCATGTGTGTGCCATGTGGTCAGATGAGGCACTGTCAATTTTATTCCATATTTATGCTGTGTGGGAGCTGAGTTTGAACTCCACTGATGCTTGATTTAATGCATATCTGCATAATTAATACATTAACGAATAAAATCACAGTGTTGTTGTACCTTTGACACTGAACTATAGAGTCAGCGCTCCACTGTGTGTTTTCATTTTAGTTCGACTCTTAATGCAATTAACTGAAGACCGAACAATTCCATCCTAGTCTGATTCTGAAATATTCATATTTATGGGTAAAAACAAGACTTAAAGTTAAAAAAATGTTTTAATCTTACCGGTAAGCTATGTCCGTAAGAAGTCAGGCAGCGTGTCTTTGTCCGAGGATATTGTTGTCTTGTGTTGAAAAGGAATACTCTACGCAAACACCCACATCTGGAAGATAGAGAACGAGAAAGAGAGAAAGAGATGACAACAAATTTGAGTTGAAGGATCAGAAAGCGATAGGATTTAGTAAATCATGATCCCTAAAACAATAACAAGAATACAACGGCAATACATTTGTGTTTATTAAAAGCCAAAGCATATTAAAAATGTAAAGTTTACTCCGTTCCTTTTCAATCAGTAAATCACATTCCCCGGATGCAAAAAACCGAACCAGATTGGTCTAAATAATATAGGCCTTCACCTCTCCCTCAAGTAAAACTGCTTCAAAAAAGAATTTCTGTGGGAACTGAGGAGTGGAGAAGGATAAGACCAAAAGCTTTCCATTCACAGGTTTTGAAAGGACGAGGGCTTCAACAAATGCAGATGACGTGAAGAGTAAGGCAAGGTAGGCTTAAAGCAGCGCCTTAATGTACCCTCTTCTGTCGGTCTGCTTTGTAATGTGTATTATGCCTCCGCCTTCATGAGCCATCATGTTTCCAAGCCCTTACAAAATGAACGGTCATGGGAAACTCAGTAGGCAGCACACGGACTCCACAGGGAAACCCAGCTCTCCTGGACCCCCCATGGACGAGCAGTGTCTCTCTGTCTGGTTCTGTTCCATGGCAGAGTGTCGTGCCTGGGGCAGCCAGTTCATGTACGAACAGAGAGGTAGGTGCTGCTTGGATAGCAGGCCGTTTATGATCAGCAGGTTATGATATTGTGTGATGTGGGATCCTCCACAACTCAGTCTGTGTGTGTAATGTTGCTCCATACCACTGTCCTCTCTTTTCTTATTTCACCATTTTGGTACACCAAATTTGACGTGAACAGTCCTGTAGAAAACACTAATAACTTTCTTGTAAAGTGAGTCCACATAATTCACGGTTTCTGGAAGTATTATGACATACAAGTGTTGTCAGAAAAATGTGTACAAATAATAATGTTATTCTGTGAAAATAGCCGGGGAAAAAAAGTAGTATTTCATCAGATTTATATGACTTCCTAATTACTTTCCCAATCTATTTTGTGAAGGATTTGTGATATCTAGATTCAGAATTTTTTAAATATTTTTATCTGACACTACAATTCCTTGTTTTCTGTGAAAGATGGATTAATGTGTTCAGTGAATTGAAAGAAATTGGAGGCTATCCAACTCACTGGTGTCTCGGCAGCTGAATGAAACAGTCTGAAGATGAAAACGTCTCCAGTCTTTGAACTGTGAAGATGTTCTGATGGTTATTATCATACCATGTGAAGGCAGCATCGCAGTGTCATGTTACTTGACATAGTCCTGAAACATGTTACATACTTGTCTGTGATGAAGCTAGATTATTTTTTTCAGTGTAATCTCTCCACTTTAGGAGTAACACAGTTTGACCCCCTGCACAGCCAGCCAGTGTCTCTCTGACACATATCATTACATGCCTTAGCCTCTCTGCAGTCAGCCATTTTGGGTCACAGAGGCAAACCCCCCTGGTTCCGCAGCTCCTTTCTGGTCTAGTGTTATTCTAAGCTTTCCACTCACTCTGCAGGCGACCCATTGTGTCCCGGTCACTGAATGAAGTTTGAAGCATTGACCCCCTATGGCCTTGAAATGTCCTCCTATCCAACCCTTTTCCATGCCATCTTGTCTCCCACTAGGCAGCCATTTTGCACTAAATGGAGGAGACGCAGCTGAAGCCTCCAGAGTCATTGTCACTTACAATATTGCTTATTTCATTCTGCTATATTGCCAAGTTATTCAGATAGAGGCAATTCACATTTAAGTGTGCATCTGTGGACCTTTTAAAATGATAAATATCTGGCTGTGTACTGCTGTATATTTTACTTGTGTTAATTTAAGAAAACAGTAAATAAAGAGAACATTGTGTTACAAATGTTGAAACGTTTCCAGTTTGTAAAATATCGTAATCCCCCTCTGCGGTTCTTAAGACCACCTCTACTGCATTTTTGTGTTGTTTTAATAAGGTGTGCCTGGATCCTAATATCAGGGACCCGAAACTGGGACCTGAGATAGGCCGTGTTGTTAAACAATATTTGTATACTGTGACTTGTGTAAAGGCTCCACACTGGTGCTAGTACTGTGCCTTTTTAGAGTGAGACAATTGATTCAAAAAGACACAATGCTCACCTTCACTCATATTCACATAACCAATAAAACTATCCCTACAAATCATGCGCAAATAAAGTAAAGAATAAAGACTTCCATTAATGCTTTCAAGTTAATAGACATTATTTTGGAAACAAAGCATCTCTAAATACTGCCTAATATACCACGTTATAGAGTCCATCATATTGTATAATTATGCAAAAAATTGCGGAGTAGTGGCATAAAAAGTACATTTCCCTGTGAAGTAGTAGCATATGGATGTAGTACATAAAGGACCTGAGAAAAGAGGGACGGTTCAAAGACGGGAGGATGGACTGATGCACGGATGGACGGAGACATGATAAAACAGGTGAGTTGAGGTGAGGAGACACAAAGGAATGTGTGTGTTCACTGTATTCAGTGTTTGTGTTTCTGAGACCACCTGCAAGGACAGACAGGGCCAGTGTTGGCTGGTGTTGGCGGAGGTGGATGTGGTGCGGGCATCTACACACAGACACATGCTCACACACACAGACCCCCTGCCAGTACAGAAGAAGCTGAAGGAGACTCTGTGCTGCTTGATAAGCAACAGCAGCACGACTCCCAGAGAATTCGTGCTTTCCAAAAAAACAGCACAGTCTTAATGTGTGCGCGCTAAGTCTGGACCCAGAGTCTATTCCCAGCAGGGAACCACAAATACCTAAAAACTGGGCTCAGATTCATATCTGAAACTGTACTTTTATGAAGAGTCACACAAAATCACTGTGGTCCTGCAGGTACCATTGAAAAAAGATATTGTCTTGCTATGAAATGCTGTTTCTTATATTGCAATTATATTACTTCTAAATTATCAAGGAAGGTTTTTTTTCTCCTTGTTCACAGCACAAATGTCATGATGCAAGCAGCCATTAAAGGCATACTATGTAGGAATTGTAGCCTACTGTTTGTAAACACAACATTCAAAGTTGGCCCCTCCTCCTCCGGCAACAGACACCAGAAGACACACCCCCTTAACATAGAAGCCAGAACACAGCTCAGTGTACCAGCATCACACACAGCAGAAATTGAAAGCCAACCCCATGTTCTTGTTTCAGAAGGAGCTTTGTCCATTTGTCACAGTTGAAAATGAGCATGTCATGACTCAAACTGAACAGGTGTAAGACAACTTTAAATGTCACTGTGTGTGAACAGCTCCTGTGAGAGGCAAGAATATACGGAGCCCGGCAGGTATCAATAGTAACATTTTTGATAATTTGAGTGCATGAATTATTCATTGGTACCCTTGCATCGTTTTGACAAACATGCACTTTTTCCCCCTTAAATTATTACTTTTGTACCATTGCCTGACTTACATTGCTCCCTTAAACTACTTACAATTTTGACTTCAATTTGATTCATCCCCTCATAGTAGATATTAACAGTAGGGACTTGAGGTTTTGTGTTGTTAATTTCTGCAGACATCAGATCAGCTGAGTAGGCAAATAAAAAGTTGAAAGGCACACTGAGCTAATCAATTCCATTAAAGATGTTGCATATGTTGCAGTATCTATCAACAAATCAGACAATTTTCCTGAAAATCTGTGTTGACTGTGTTCAATTTATAAATCTGCTTGTTTCAAAATGGGATCTGTCAGTAAAGAATTAGGCCAGGCCTATTTCTTTCCTTCATCTAGCTTTTTGCAGTAAATATTCATTGTCTTTCTGATGACATTATAGTTCTCAAACCAAATGAATTTGTGTGAGCCTGTTTACCTTTTTGTAATATTTATGAGATGTTGTGGAACAACAAATCAGCTTTTCTGCAGTGCAAGGACTCTCTTAAACCTTCATGTGTTTGAAGGGCTTAATTCATTTTCAGTCACGATGACTGCACTGTGTACCTTTGGGACACAGTCTCTTGACTGTGTTATTTAATAAGTGAAATATCATTTTAGCCCAAAATGTTACTTCTGATTGGCCTTGATACCCTACAAACCCATAGTAGTTCTTGACAAGCATATCCATCTTTACAAAGCCTTTGCCCTCATAGGCAATCTTAGCTTTTTAATGGATCTCAACCACAACTCTAAACACCAGGCAAGGCGACTTTTACCAGGTCAAGCCATCCTGTCCTGTTTGTCTCAGTTTTACCTCCCCCTCATCCATTTACTTCCCTACCTCATCCCTTCCTCTGTCCATGCCTATTCACATTCATTCAACCTCTTCTCCTCTCTTTTCATCATCTCTTATTCAATCCTATACATAACTCTCCTATCTCTCTATTTCCACAGATTATCTGGGCAAGGCAAGTTTATTTGTAAAGCACATTTCAACAACAAGGTAATTCAAATTCACATAAATCATTAAAAGCATCAAAACATAAGGCAAAAGAAAAGGAGATTTAAAAACAATTAAGAACATTCATTGAAACATTAAAAACAGTCATTAAAACACTAAAAAGCAGTGTAAGAAATAAAATACAGTAGTAAAATGCAGAAATGCAGGAAATTGATTCATATCCTTGAATCTGGTTTAATTAAAGGCAGCAGCAAACAGAAAAGTCTTCAATCTTGATTTAAAGGAGCTGAGGGTCTCAGCAGACCTGCAGCTTTCTGGGACTTTGTTCCAGATATGTGGAGCAGAACAACTGAACGCTGCTTCTCCATGTTTAGTTCTGACTCTGGGAACAGAAAGTAGACCAGTCCCAGACGACCTAAGGGGTCGGGATGCTTCATAAGGTAGCAGCAGATCAGAGATGTATTTTGGCCCTAAACCAGAGGTCTTCAACAGGGGGTCCGCGGAATTTTTGTTTGATTAGACAATAAAAAAAAAATAATAATATATATTTTTTTCTCTAAACATGAATCTGTCCATTATTGTAATAGTTCAGTATTGTATGCAAGATAACAGGTATGTTTATGCATGGCAGTGGCACTAATAG